CTGGCTCTAGACAGACAATGTCAATTGTTGACAGCCAGAGAGGCGTTATGATAGCAAATGAGTAACTGCTGTTCTGGCTCTGGGCAGACAATATCATTTGTTGAGAGCCATAAAGGCGTTATAGCAAACAAGTAAATGCCCTTTTGGCTATATGCAGACAATATCATTGGTTTAGAGCCAGAGAGGCGTTATAGTAAATGAGTAAATGCCCTTTTGCAGACAATATTTTTGTTTGTAGGATTCAAATTTCACAAAAGGAATTTCACAAAAGGAAGAATACAAAGTTGGTAACTGGAGATGAGGAAAGGAGTATGAAAGAAAAGGTTGGGTTGGGTAAATTGCAAAGGATGAAGAGAAGATTAATGCATCAGATCGAAATAGAATTACATTCTTTTTCCTTGATTGAACCTGACTATTAAAGTGTGTCATACTTTATCTGCTTGACTCGAGGTCACTGAATCCTGATAAGACCTTTCCAGTGAATTATCAAGACTTTTACATATGGTCCCTTATTTGAAGTATATTTTTTTTCTTAGATCCTACAGAACTTCAAGATATTCAATGTGAAGTCTAAAGACGGTGAAGGATTTCACGAATTCTAAAGTACCGATATATAATTGCCTTTTCCGAAGCTCATAATTTCTAATTTTTCTCAAAAGGAAAACTTGTTTTTTCTTCTATTTCTAAAACTTATCCTTCATTCAACACTATGTTATATTGATGATGAATGTGTATGATGTGAACAGAGCAATGTAGATAGCGAGACACATTTATCATTTGAGGTCGATAACCCAAGTTTTATGAGACACCAAAGTGATAAATATTTTGAAAGGAGATCCTGATTTATGTAATCCATCATAAGATGGATTTTAATTGCCTGCTCAGTTAGCTGTCATTAACATTTAGGTTGTTATTTCTTATTTGTCTCTTTCTCAGGCAGTGTATCATTATTTTTAGTTTGAGGTTTGTAGATTGCTTCTCTTCTTTATTTCAAGTTAATCCTATCAAGGTCTTTTCAATTTATTTTTAATTTTTAATTCTTCATTTCTCAGACATTTTCATTTGCTATATTTTTTCATTTGCTATACTTTTTCGTATCTTATGTTTTTATACTTGTAAGTTTTCATTCTTACATGTTTTTCATTTATTGCAGAAAAAACTAACTTCATACCCAGAACTCGTCTGAACCTTTTCATATTTGCTGCAGTTACGGAAACTGTTGCCTTTTTTCTGTAAACCAATTACTGTCCATTTCTTATCATTGAGAAAAAAATCTTTACTAAAGCTATCTTTTGAATGAACTGTTCATATTTGCCAGACATCGCGCTCTTGGAGATGTAATAGCATCTTTAATCAACATAGAGGAACAGAGACGTGGCTACAGAGTCAACTTCATTGTCTCTTTTTTGTTGCTAGATTGCAGTTTCAGTTAGGCAAGTAGATCATCGATAAGGGAGCTCTCACCAATATTTCAATAACTTCACAAGAGGTAATTCTAGCCAAACCAAACATCTTTGTCATCGATGCAAGAAAAGCGATGTCGCGTATTGACACACACGCACACCTCGTGAGTCACCGCTCGGCCCCCCACGCCAGATCTACCCTTGGATCAAACAACAGATAAAGATGCATGCAATCTAAAGAGTAGCCCCAGTTCAGACAAACAAAATTAATTGTATTTCTACACAAAAATCATCTAGCTATATACTCAGTAATTGATATTTTTTAGTCTGAACATCATATAAAGAAACATCGTAAAACAGAATGTTTTTTTGAACATCACTTTGAAATAAAAAGTTGTTGAGGAGTCTAGGTCCCATTCTATTCTGGACACTGTATCACACAAAAATATGGTCAGCTATGGTCAGATTGGCCAGCTGTCATGTCAACCGACTTCTTTAAAACTAGTTTATTTATATGTTTGTGAAATCTTAATGCAATGTTGTTGCCCAGCCTGTATGTACGACCCTTGCGCTATACATTAATTATTTTATACCACATTTCTTTATACAAGTTCTGTAGAGTTTTTTTCCTGTCTGAACAGGCTACAAGGACGATTGAAAAAAAAGAAAAAAACGTCATTGTCGTCCATGCTGAGGGACCTTGTGCGTGAAATGAACTAAATTAGCATTTTTAATTGATTTGATTCATCCTACTGCAACCAGTTTAAGGCTACACCTTTGTGATCATCTGACCACAAGTTTAGATTCTTTTCGGACCGAGAACGTCTTTTTTTCAAGCGTCATATCTATTTCCCTGTTGTAGACTGAGAAATATTAATGCGAAACCAGAGAAAAAAATATAGTCCTTAATTTAATGTATGTCATCCCTTTTTTTTGTGTCAATACTTCTTGAAGTTACTTTTTTAGGATTAAGATTTGGTGATCATTCTCACTAGATAAATCAGTGTAGGTACATGTACAAGTCAAAAGAGTAACTAAAATGATATTCTAGACTTTTTAACATTTTAATGAAAGTAGAACATAGTTGGGGGGAAATGATTTGCACTTAATAAAAACCTCTTTATAGTGGGTAGCAGCATCTACAGATATTGGGAAAGAAAGTTTCCTTGCTCATTATTTACTTCTCTGATTTTCTGTTGATATCAAGTAATCTTGCGTGTAAATATAAGGATTCAACCACTGAGAATCAAACACTTTTTGATAGAAGAAAAAAAATCCCTGGAGTTAGAAAGAGAGGCTAAGGTAGGGTTGGTTAACGAAGCAATGACGTCAGATAAAAAGCCAAACCTGTTATTATTGGCAGGCAGACTTGGGGGATATGCACTGTAGATTGCTCATTTGCTTACAGTACCGGATGTCACGGTATTTTTCATTTTCATTTGGAGGCTTATTTTTAATGCCGACCTTGACAATGAGGTTGTTTTTCCTGGTTGTGTTCCATTACTAATTGTTATGATCAGGTTGTTGTCTGCTTGCGAGTTATGTGGATCATTATCATGTCTGTTATGCCTGTACATCTATTGTGTAGGGCAGGGTTGTTGTGCAAGAATTTGAAAATTGCCACGCATGAAAGAAATTATTCAATGACTCTTTGATTAGACATCGGGTAAATTACTTCAAGGGCTCTTGAATTAAAAGAAGAAGAAATTCACAACAGAAGAAAAAATTTCCTATACTGCTAAAAAAGAAATCGACCATTTTTTAAAATGATTAGTCCTAAATGTAGGGGGAATGGGGAGGGGCAGGTAAATTGTTGAATACTTGCCCCCCCCCTTCTCTTTCTCCCCTTCTCCCTCTCCCTCCATCCTTCTCTCCCTCTCTCTCCCCCTTTCTCTCTCTCTCTCTCCCAATCTCTCTCTCTCTCTCCCTCCCTCCCTCCCTCCCTCCCTCCCTCCCTCCCTCCCTCCCTCCCTCCCTCCCTCCCTCCCTCCCTCCCTCCCTCCCTCCCTCCCTCCCTCCCTCCCTCCCTCCCTCCCTCCCTCCCTCCCTCCCTCCCTCCCTCCCTCCCTCCCTCCCCTATCTGAAATCTTTTCTTCTGTTTATCGCACTAAGCAAAAATCCATCAAAAACAAACAAGGCAATAGAAACAATTTTCTGAAGTACTTAAAATTTGATTCCATTGAGCGTAGGCTGTCAAAAAGAATCATCTTTCTCATGAAGAGAGAGTAGGTAGACAAACAAAGTTAATTGCAGCATGACTCACACACAATATCCGATTGAGATGTAAAAGGAAACAACCTGTCAAGAATTTTCAAAAGTTGTCATTGTTTCATACTCAGTATTTCATTATCTGATGACCTTGATTGTGATATACTTTCACATTATTTGTGAGTTTTGCTTTGGTTTCGAGTCATTCATGATATTTGCAATGTTTCTAGATTAGTCTAACTGTAAATCAATATCTATTTTTAAGAAAGAGATATTAGAGAATGAGTGTTATATATCGTAGTTTTTGTTTTGTTTATTTATCATCAACTGAACTCAAATGTGCTTCGATATCAGAAACTAAGAGCTGTTCTCAAGATCCTCCCACCTTTCTAAATAGGATAAGTTGAGAGTGAACCTACAGTATTTTGTGGTCACAGTTGTGAACTATTTGGTACACAATTAGATGCATCACAAATGTTTAATGAATTTAATAAATATGTAATATCTGTAATAAACCTCTTATTTGCTGCCACAAGCCTCAGCTAAGATAAACTTTTCTCATATCTAAGATTTATGTATAAGATTTCCTATCATTCAACGAAGGGAGAACTTGTTAACCTTTATCTAGATTTCAGAAGAGAATAGATGTTTTTTTAAAATGCTAAATTACCTGACATGTATTATATTATTTTTCAGCCATAAATCCACCATTTATCAAAAGGAATTAACTAGGAACTAATATCATGCTTGTACATCATCTTCAATACAAGAGCTTTGTAATTAGTATTGTCAAGTTTTATAGTAATATCAGTATGGCATGAACTGTTGGTCCTATTCAATTGAATTATTTTCCAAGTAAGAGCTATTTCAAGAATAATAAATCACACTTCTGTCATCATTTTTATGATTTTTCTCAACCCAACCACATTTTACTTTTATTATAAAAGCAGACCTTATTGAATGGAAGCATATTATGTTTAGTTTGCAGCTGGAAAGCAGAATGAAATGTGTGTACATGTGATTCTCAATACACTTCTGATGGCGTGTCTATGCCTTGATGCACATGCATAGATATGCATTTATAGGGGGAATCAAAGTATGGTATGTTTTGATTTCAGATCATCTGGAATAGCCCCATCTTGTGTTGAGAAAATGATATCGTGCAGAATGTTTTCTCCTTCAGGTCTGTCGATGATGTGCATTTGACAGGTGACCTATGAGCATGGTTCACAGGTTCAACACCCAATTTAGATTGTTTGCCAGAACTGGAATACTCCCTGATGGTGCAAGCAATCTCCTTTATTACTACTATCAATGAAATATACCGTAAGAGGATCTGTGTATTTTATTAACCCCTTTTATATTTCTTTCTTTCTCTTGTTTTTGCAGTGCTTGGCGTTTTGATACTTCTGAAGAGGAAGTAGCTCCCAAGAACAGGTATTTTCATGTTTTTTCTATATCAACATTATAAAATAAAGAATTATTAAAGATAAACTCCAGTTATGGTAAAAAAAAAGAAAATTAATTCTCACAGAATCAAACAAAACTTACACTGAATGTTCAAGATTACAAATAGATGACATGTGCCAAACAGTTTTGGAAGGAAATGTATACTGGCTGAGTAATGAGCATAGAAAGACAAGGAAATCAAGGTAGTACTAGCCCCGACACCATGTGTGTTGTCCCATATATAGCTTTCTGTGTACAATGCTTGTTACTTTACCAAGACTCGGCCAAATTTATTATGATTTTGGTGACTCCAGAACCTTGCAGTGCACACCAATACTTACATGCTACATGATCAACTGTTTCTGATCCATTCCACACCTTTTCTTTCACAATGCAATCGCATTACCAGAACTCACCTTTATCTTTAAGAAATGTAATAAGTGGAGGGGCTGCATGTAACATGGAGAGAAAACTTGAAAGTTTGATAGCAAACTGTAATGCATTTGCCAAAAGAGGGAGACATATTTATCTGCTGTCATGCATTTTGATATTCATATTTTTCATATGCTTGTAGAAGCATCTTGTAACGATTGAGGTGTATTTTAGTGTTATTAATGTAGAACATAAAATAAGATATTCTATCAATATTATAAAGAGAATTTCTTTCATTCTCCGAAAGATATTTAAAATTTGATTTTTGAAAATTATTGCATGAACAGAAAAGTTCAGTGATATTCACTCTGCCTAGCGAGTTATTTCCTCATTATTTTGAGAAAGTCGTTTTCAAAATACACAATTTTGTTTCTCAAAATAAAACCCTTCCTTGAGCCTAAATGTCAACTCAGTGATAAGATCAAAAGACTTCTATTAGCATTATAGTATCTAGATGAAATCCTTAAATAGCAAGTCATTAACTTTTCAAAGGTGTGAACATATAACACTTTCTCCTTTGATGAATTCAAACGTAGAAGTAGCCTAAATATAGAGTTGATGGTTTATTATTTTTTTAAACTCTTCAATTCCCTTAGATAAGCAGTATGTGGATATATGTATGTAGATTAGAAACCAATTGCAATTATTCAGTGAGGTATATTATTCTGGACTTAATATCAACAACATAATCCAAGAAAACAGGAAAGTTACCCTGTCACCACTAGTGCCCCCTCCTAAATGATAAAAAAGAAAGAAAAATGTAATTTTGGTCTCCATTAATTCATACTCAAAACAGACAATGTTTCTACTAAAAAATTCTAACAGTGTAGTCTCAGTTTTCTATCTTCTCAGTATCTCATTCAGTGTGATTTGGTCTGAGATGGGCCTATAATATATCATGGACAAATTTATACAAGGAATGAAGCAAGTTAAAATTTAATGTCACTCTGGAAAAGGAGGACATGAAACATCCTCAACGGCCATGTTTCAGAATTCTTGCAAAATTGGTATTAAGTGTAATTGTGTGAATGACGTCACTATGATCATACGATAATTGGAAGGTTGAATATGTGTAAAGATAAGAGAACATAATAGGCGGCGTTATGAATGAATGAATGAATCAAATGTTTATAATGGAATTCAAGGAAAAATCTATCAGCTACATCATGGAAGGATAAATTAGAATGAAATTCCCACTGTATTCTGCTGTGATCTGAGCGAGAGCGGCAAAGATAGGTTGAAGGGTGAATGAACTTCTCCTGTTTGACAAACAGGTGCAGTGAAGACTCGTCAGCTTATGTTCTCTTATTCAAAGGGTAATTCCCCGAGACTGGCTGAGTGGATTTACTTCTAAAATGACTTGCGATGTGCCGTCTTGTTCCCCGCAAATGCCTGTGATTTATTTTACGGATTCGGTCGGGTAATGCAAGCTCTAGGCATTCGGCGAAAACGTGGCATAAACAAGCCGAAGGAGGAATGAACATTAAGAGGAGAAGTGGATGAAAGAGTGGAAAGTAAAATGTGACTGTTTGAACTGTGAAGGCTGAATCAAGAAGGTTCTACAGAGTTCAGGGATTATTCAGGAGAGGAAAGGGAAGAGGAAATGACAAATTAACATCCATTCCAAGGATGCACACAATTTTTTATGCCTCCGTTACGAAGTAGCCGGAGGCATTATGTTTTCGGGTTGTCCGTCCGTCCGTACGTCCGTCCGTACGTCCGTACGTACGTACGTACGTACGTCTGTACGTACGTACGTCCCGTTCTCGTGATCGCGTTATCTGAAGAACTGGTTGATGGATTCCTGCCAAACTTTGGTCATGTATGTATCTTGTAGAGCCGATGAACTGATTAGATTTTGGGGTTACGAGGTCAAAGGTCAAAGGTCACAGGGCTCATTATGTATGCAAAACGAGCTCGTGATCGCGTTATCTGAAGAACTGGTTGATGGATTCCTGCCAAACTTTGGTCATGTATGTATCTTGTAGAGCCGATGAACTGATTAGATTTTGGGGTCACGAGGTCAAAGGTCAAAGGTCACAGGGCTCATTATGTATGCAAAACGAGCTCGTGATCGCATTATCTGAAGAACCGATTGATGGATTGCTGCCAAACTTAGGTCATGTATGTTACTTGCAAAGCCAAAAAACTGATTAGATTTTGAGGTCACGAGGTCAAAGGTCAAAGGCCACAGGGCTCATTATGTATGCAAAACGAGCTTGTGATCGCGTTATCTGAAGAACCGATTGATGGATTGCTGCCAAACTTAGGTCATGTATGTTACTTGCAGAGCCGATGAACTGATTAGATGTAGGGGTCACAAGGTCAAAGTTCAAAGATCACAGGGCACATTATGTATGCAAAAACAGCTCGTGATCGCGTTATCTCAAGAACCGATTGATGGATTCCTGCCAACTTAGGTCATGTATGTTTCTTGCAGAGCCAATGAACTGAGTAGATTCTTGGTTCATAAGGTCAAAGGTCATGGGCTCATTATGTATGCAAAAATAGCTTGTAATCACAATATTCTGAAAACCTGTTAATGGATTACAATTGAACTTGAATTTGAAAAATTTCTTCTGTTTTGGTTTGTAAAATTGCTCTATGACGGAGGCATCATTTTCGACTGCGCGCAGTCGAAGTTCCATCTAGTTTGATTAATTATTATTTATAAGTGTTTCATGATTCATTTGTCATGAGTGTAGGACTTGATATTGATTAATTATAGTATATAAATTGTCATGAATGGGCTTAATCACTTTGGGTTTTATTGAAACAGCATTTGTTAGGCTCTTTAATCATTGTGATTTAGACCTCAATTAAAACTCTATAAATTCATGAAGTGAATTCAATATCATAATGATGAAACCTCAATATCATGATGCTCCTTAAAGGCATCGTTCAATAAGGTTTCCAGTTCTACAAATCTGATATGTATGGCCCTACGTGTTATCAGTGTCTGATATGGTGTAATATTGAAGCCCTAAAAAAAATTGTGCTTCAAGATGTTTTGGAAGGTTTGGGTCACATTGGGTTCACAAAATGCCTAAAAGGTTTGTGACCCTTCTCGCAGGACAGGTCTATGAAAGGTCACGTCTCACTGGTATCCATTCTTAAGACCACCACTCCACTGTCGTGAATTTGTATGACGTCATTGGCATTAACATTTCTCAAAAAAGTTGAATCAGCTTTATTTTATTCTAAATATAGCGTAAATCCCTTTTGTGAAACCCTTGGAGGATTATTTTTTCTCTTTTATTCTGATTAAATTTTGTTAGATTAAGACGCCCATCTAAAGCCAAATATCCGGTTTCCGTGATATCTGGCATGTGCGCTCCTATATAAAGTACACTTTTTAATAGTTTGAAATGTTGACGTTAGACGTGGAGGCGTACCAGAATAACTCCTGAAAATCTTGGAATAATCAGTTAATGCTGCTATGTAACTTTGCCAATTTTAACTGGTAAGCCTTTGTCTTCTTTTCTTTAATTTGTGGATTAAAAAGTAAGTCGTTGGTTTTACGAAGCTCATACAATTTTACTTTTTTTTTCTCGCACGTAATTGGAAAAACCTTGTTTGCGTATACAGATAAGAAAAATTATTGGTATTGAGAATATGTAGTTTGTGTCTCTTTCTTTGTTTTTTATATTATGTGTAATGAACTTATGTAACCTGTTGGTGAATAAATTAAACATTTTGATTTAGTTTTTTCGCTACGTCTTTATTACAAAAGGTTTTTTCACTGTTTCTGATTGTTTAGTGGAATAGGCATTTGTCTAAGTTATATTTAATCTCTCACAAGCTATCTTAATTTCAAGTTCATGTATATTCTAAATGAGAATACGATACAAATATTTTTTTTAAAGACCTGTTTGATGACCATCACTCTCTCAGGGGTATTGCCATACCATTTGACTGACAAGGAGTTTGGATTAAAATTTAGAATGAGCCCGGGCCCCCCCCCCCCCCCCCCTCTCTGGATGCCTTCTATCTCTTCAGTTTGAGTTTATTTTTATGGTTAAGAGGAGGAGCTTGAATGTGAGATTTTAGTGGATGATATTATGGTTCATACGTGATGTTGGCATGTATGATTTAGATCAGTGATAAGAATATTCTGAAATCTATAACTAGTATATTCCTTAACTTATAAAATTTAAATAAGTTTTCAGTTTCTTCAAATTCTCTGCAGGTTTAAAAAATCCAGTAATTTTGAGTGATATTTTTCAGTCATATAGCTCTATTTATCTTGTCTTGACCAAATACGTTAATGATTTTTGATGTGTACTTACCTATATGTTACTAGCTTACATCACGATATGGTAACAACCTTTTATTCGGCCCTGTCTCTCTCACTCTCTATTATTTGGAAATAAAGACGGCCATCAGATAATGTAGGCTTACAACATTCTATCCATGCAGGGAGTTGCCCCTCTGTTTACCCCCTCTTCATGATCCCGATGTAGTCTTTCTCCTCAGCCTTCATAATCGGTTCAGCAGTAGTATCATTTCTACAGAAAGCAATCATTGTGCCCATCAGGGGCTGATCAGGGATTTGTAATTTTAAAAAAGGAGGGGGGGGGGGCACAATTACA